CATATCACTCCTAGGCTGCATGCTAATGCTCGTCTCCCAGTACCGTTGGTGTGATGCACAGTGTCTTGCCCTCAGGTGCAGCCTCAAAATGGCATCTCTGGCTACTGGAAGTGTGTGAAGCGGGAGACCCTGAAGGCAGCCCAGGAGGCCCTGGTAGACGGCGGGTGTCCCATCTGAAGCACTGATGTGCACCGTGATCATGCTCACCACTTCTGTCTTTCCTTCAGTTGTATGAATGAAATGAATAACCGCATGTAAATGAATATAGGTTTATACCACTATCACTAAACACATTGTGGTTTGATATTAAAGCTCTTTGGGTTTGCTTGTGGTGTTTACAATATTACAATATTACATATAATTGTTTGGTCGAGCATTTTATATCCTGTATGGCTGATCGCTATTAAACATGTACTTAAGGAGCAGGACTGCAGTCAACATTTCCTGTAAAAGTGACTTATTCATGAAAGTGAGAATCCTGGTTGCACTGAACAGTGTAACAGATTAGAGGATACACACATTTCTCATTTTCTGTGTACACTAGTCAGAGTGATTTATTCTCATGGACACGAATGCAAATTTTTACCAGTGTCAAGAAGCTGGCTTGGTTTTTACATGTACTTTTATTTTTACTCCTGAGCATTAATGTGGTTACCAGAGATCAGTCATGTGAGTCAATAGTGGGTAAACAGCAGTCTGGCATAAATCACTTCCTAGATGACAGACATGTGTAATCTGTCTAATGTCACATTCTCAACATGCTAAATAGCAGCAACTATTTATTTGTTGTGACTGCTCATGCTGTTGTTTACCGGTGACTCACCAAAGCATTTTACAGCTGAGTGCGCACATCTCGAAATGAATATCGGGCCTCGCACTTTCAACAGTAACAGAGCTGCTATTTACTTAAATTCTGGAGTAACCAGCGGGGTGAAGTTAATGGTTTAGCTATGTTGAGCTTAAACTCCGTTTTGTGTCACATAAATGGCTTTTTTATCTGGCTAAATCAGCATGGTGTTATGTTTGGAGCTTCCATGTGAAATGGGTTGAAAGCCAATATTACAGTATGTATTAAGCACAATATAGATCGTCTGCTGGAAAATGTTTTATATACGCAAATTGTTGTACCTAACTAAAACCACTCAATAAAGCATAAACTATGCATTCCATTGTCATGGGAATGCGCATGTATTAATTTGGAGATTCAGAAAACATGTTTTGTTTATATATATATATATACATATACTTCACTACTTTAATATTAAAATGTATACAATTTAAAGTTCCAGAACTCCAGCTGTCACCTTAGAAACGAACAGCACCAAAGAGCACACTTGGCAATTACAATTATTAGCTTAAATGGAAATGTTTTACCGCATCTATGCACTGAATTACCAGCAGTGTTTTAGTTTTTGTATTCTTTATAGATTTTAAACAACCACTGTATTATTGGCTGATAATGTCTCTGTCACTCAGCGATCATTTTGCGGGGAAGAACAATCACGTGGTACGTAAAACACCCCCTTTTCTATGTGTGTGCCCACAGAGCAGGAAGCAGAAAGCACAGCCCAACAGATAATACCACCATTGTGGTACCCAAAAGCCTGGACGTGTTGAGTTTTATTCGTAGTACACCCCTCAGGCTGTTCGTACTACTGCAGCCAGGTCACCTTAGTGCATGTAAATATACGTTGTTCAGTGTGTTTACAACCCTGCTAATAGTGGTTTGTGGGAAAGATTCTAATCATGCCGGGGAGCTGGTGTGGGATTTTCCTTTTTTTCTGTCTAAAATATCTAATAAAGTTTTATATAAATGCACAACTGAGGCTTCCAAGGGTCATTAGTAGAAAAGCAGCAAAGTGACTAAGTTTTAACTACATTGTCATTTATTGTAGAATTGACCTGTTAAGATCACATGAGTATGTGGGTTAACCATTGAAGATTGTGATGCTAATAATTTTACCATACATAGAATTTAAAAAGTAAATAGACAAAACAAGCTTACTTGCATGATAGAAGAACTAATTAGTGACTGATGCCAGGGTTATCAGTGAATACAGCATACACAGCTACAATACAATAAAATTACATTGAGCATGAAGCCATCTTTGGTCTTCTCATCACTATAAACAAATACATAGAAATTTGTATTGTATCAAAAATAGAAATTACATAGCCATATTGAAAGAAAATTCACATTTTTGACACACAATATAAAGAGAATAACAAGTGACGTATTGTAAGGTTTACATTTTTCTCCCCTTGGCTTTAAGGACCCAATGGTTTTAACATTTTTTGAACATTCGTTTTTAAAGAATTGCATCATTCTGTCAAACCATGTAAAAAGTATCCTGCATCTGTGTCAGACAGGATGCAAAAAACAACAACAAAAAAAAGATCAGATTGTCATTGTTAGGGGAAAAAACAAAACACAAAAAGAAAAAAGAAAAAAAAAAGTGTGCTTTTAATCCTGGGCTTTTTGAAATGAGGCCTCTACCACACTAGGAAAAAAAATAAATAGACTTTTTTTTTTTTTTTTTTTCTTTTAAAAGGATGGAGAGAGATTGGGTCAAGACTTGATTCGATCACGATGAGCCCCGATGCGCAGACGTTTCCCTCCTCTCGTGAGTGAGTCTTGTCTCGAGTTACCGGTCTTTGTGTAGTGGTCCTCCTGGGCTTCAGAGTTATTTGGCTCTTGGAGGCACACATGATGAACTACAGCCAAAGTGGACCTCTGCTTGAGATTATAGGTAAGTGCTTTCACTGTGTTTTAATCCACTGTGGAAAAAGAAGGAAGCCATGTAAGAATATCAAACAGCAGAGTGACACAGGGATTCTTTGTCCCACAGTTCAGACCTGATATTGAGATGCATCTAATACATACAGGTAACTCCACATTCAAAAATATTCTCCTCACACAGTAACATCAAGAAGATATCTGACATCATTCTAAAAGAGAACAAAGAGGCTAAAAACATTACAAGGCTCATGTAGATGAATTTTTAAGAAACACAAAGTTGTGCCCCCACAGAGCCCTGCTCACAGCATCATGGAGTCAGTCTGGGATTACATGAAATCTCCAACGAGACATCAGGTTGTCTAATGCCAAACATACACTAACACTGAAATCTGGTGCCTTCTAACATCTAAAGACAACTTATCAGATAGTCAAAGTTTTAGTCATGTATTATTCCATCACTTTTGATTCTGTCTGAGCTCTGGCTAAGTCATATGAGCACCTCAGACCTGATGGTGGGAGTGTGCCACAACTTCAGCAAAACTATCAAGTTGTCATGAGGAGATTTCAGCCATTTCTAACACTGAAATCACTAGTGTAGCAGTTTACACATTTGCTTAGTTCAATTCCAGCCAGAGACACAAATACATTTTCGGGTTGCATGTGGCATAGTGACCCCTCGTGACAAGGAAGAGTTGAGAGTAACTCAACAGTGTCACTGAAATCATCAGAGAAATTGGCTGGGCAAAGCTAGCACCTACAATTTTTTTTTTCCCCCAAATACAAGATAACAAGATACTTTAATTTCTAGAATAGTGTTGAAGAAATATTAACACACAAGTTGTTTAACAAATGTTTATATATAACATTTGTTAAACAATTTGGGCTGCAGTTACCCTATTTAATAAAAGCACATGTGAAACCATATGCCTGCACTTGTCTGCCATTTTTATTTATTTTTAACTGCTTTTGATAGTTGCTTTAACACTCACTGATAAAGTTCTGCTATAAAACAAAGAGGTCTGCTCCTCTCAGGTTTTTCTTACCATTCACTGCCAAAAGGATGGAGGGTCAAGGGTCGTTCTCCTTCTTTACTGTCACATCTCCTTCTCCAGCTAGGATGGTTGAGATCTCACCCTGCATGAAGGCCCAAGGCACAGTGGATCCGGCCAGGGGGCAGCGCTCTCCGCTGGGGCAGTAAACCTCTCCTCCTTGACCTTGGCTGCGGATGAACCCTCGGGTGCAGGGGAAGCAGAACTTGTGGTGCGGGACTGAGGGACACTGGACAAAGTGAGTGTCCTCCAGGCGCTCTCTGCAGAGGGTGCAGCAAAGCAGGGTGCCTGGGGTGCTACTTGTAGACTCCCCAGTGTTTGTGTTGTTACTTTGTCCTCCAGTGCTCAGACCCTGCCCTACAGCTGCCTGAGAGACTGAGGTGGAGGGAGTCGAGGGGCTGCTGCTCGTGGGGCGCCCAGCTGAGGAGGAGTGGGCTGTGGACATACTGGGGCTCTCTCTGGCCATGTGACTGGAACTCAGGCCATCTGCCACTCCCATAAGTGCTGAGATGGGTGAAGGCTGGTTGTGTAGACGAGGTGGGCCCTCTTGAGGTACGGCCATGCCAGGAAGAGGTTCCATGCCTGAGTACGTGCCCCGGGGCCAGGGCTCCCTCACAGGGTGTTCGGCCCTTCCCTCACTCTCTCCGTTCTCAGAGCCTGGAGAAGCCTTTCGGCGCCTGGTTGTGCCCTTGGCTGGTCCGGGGCGTCCAGGAGCTGCCAAAGACAGCACTGGGTCTGGCTGTGGCAGAACCTCTGGGATTGGAGGCTCTTTAAACATACGCACACCATCATTCAACAGCTCAGACAGCCCACGCCAGTCTCCGGTGCCTTGCCGTTTCTCATATTCCACGTAGCGCAGCCCAGAGTTTACTGCCTTACCAGCATCTTTGGCGGAGTCACGGAACATCTGCCTGACCAGATCTGGAACTCCTGAGTAGATCATTCCAGAGCCAGAGGGATACTCCGCGAACACCCTCAGCTCAAACTCTGCAGTAGCGCTAGCATCAAAGGCCAGAACACGCCCCATCAGATTATGGTCTTTCCTGAAGCGCACATTGAAGGGGACACAGCTGCTGAGAGCTACCAGCACATCCCGAACTGCTTTGGGGCGGTTAGGCCAGCCTTCCACTCTACTACGAGCCACCTCATTCAGTTCAGCCATTACTTCACTGTTCCTCCACACTGCCGGATCTATGCCCACTAGAGTAGAAGTGCTAGGTCCCATACCCAGGGACACAGCCTGTCTTCTGCCACTGTCGCTTATTATGGGGCCAGCTGAGACGGCAATAGGAGCGGCCCCAGCTCTCGTGCTTGTTAATGGGGTTAAAATCCCATGAGAAGCTGTTGCTACTAGCCCCTGAGCTATCAAGGCATGGGGTATGGTGTTATGAAGACTAGAAACTACCCCAGGCATAGCCCGACGAGTGTTCGGGCTCTGTCGGCTGCCCTCTGACAAAGCTACATCTTCAGCTCTGTGCAGACCATTGGGGAGGCGAGAAGAAGCCCCATACTCACCCCTCCCCCGGTCTACACGCTCTCCGTGATGCCGCCCCGCTTCAAGGGGCCCAGCAGAGCTGGGTTTGCCCTGCTGTGGACCGGGGGACCTGCCGTCTAAAACTCCGTGAGTGCTCTTCAGCTGCCTGGCAGTTTCAATGAGGAGTTCTATCCGGTCTGCGCCGTCGTAGTTGACACAACCCCGGCATACAGCTTCGCTGAACTCCCACAGCATAGCCCAAGGCATCTTGGGCAGGTCGCAGAGGTAGCACCATTGCCGTCTCGAGGAAGACTGCGAGGCGGAGGACATGTTGTTTACAGGCCCTCGACCAAACTTTCTTCGGAGGCCTACACGTTACGGACTACGTTTTTCAGCGATTCTTCAGTCCTCCGACACCATTCGCCACATACCGCGAATTTTACAACAGAAAATAACAAAAAACTAAGTTCAAAATCCGAGTACTGGCGGTAACATTTAAAACTTAACGACGTCTTCTTTCTCGTTTGTTCGTGTCAGCCTGTGTGGAAGGAAGTAAAATGTTATAAGACACCGGAAACACCTACGCGGCCAGGGCTCAGAGCACTATGGGAGACGTAGTTTCTCTTTAAAGCCATTGTTTCTTATTTTCTAGATTTTTAATATTGAATTTCTTTTGAGCAACAAAGTAATCAGACCACATAGAAACGGAACAGTTGTAAACAATTATTAAAGGGAAAAATTCAGAGGGACTACTTTACTGGCGACAAGATACATAAGTAGCGGAGACGCTGACGCTAGTCGGACACGTTTTTCTGTGAAACCTCAGTTTAACTGGAGCTGGTTTGTTTTGGGATGGGAGACAGAAAACATGGCTTGTGTTGCGGTTACTTTGATTAACAGAGGACAGCCAGTCTTGGTGCTGTAATGCTGGAGACATATGAGAAATATTATCTAATTACACACACATATATATATATAAAATATATATAGATAGATATAGATATAGATATTACTCCACTTCCTGCACACACGTGACAGTTTTCAAACTCAGCTTCACTGGGATGATGAGAGGTCACATAGCGAAAATCTCCAGTGGGAACGATGTACTTTGCATTGTTTCGTCTCTCTCACAGTGGTAACAGGGAAACTGATTCTTCTACAACATATTTTTATTTTTTTTAATAGGAGAATAACTCTGGAGAATAATCTTATAAGGACAATAGAAATAGGTTTGCATTGAACAAATCGCAGGGTATATTTTTCTGTACCTATTTCTTGAGATGTATAAAAAGTTACAATAATGAATGTTCATATTATCTATGCTCAAAGTTCAAAAAGTATGTCAGTAAATAAGGCCTTGTGAGCTGAAAGCTGATTGTTTTTTCTGTTGTCAGTGAGAGTGGATATTCCTATATGGTCTCAGGTACACAGCTCTGAGTAGCAACTTTGCCCACCTGCAGGGCAGATATGACAGGCAGTAAGAAAGATGCACTAGGTTCCTTCAACCTAGCTGTCTGAGGGAACATTACAGGAAGTCATTCCTTCCCACCACTATCAGACTCTTTAATCATCCACTTGGGTCAGGTCCACACACACAAAACAGGATTAATCCAATTTATACCCATATAAATATATCTCTTCATTTTATACAAGTGCTTGTATATTTGATGTTATGACAACTATCCCCTCCCTACAATCCCGAGCCAGCTGAAGCAGATCTCTCCCTGCCAGGTGTTTCTTCCAGTTAAAAGGGATTTCTTCCTTCCCAGTATCATCAAGTGCTTGGCTACAAGAAATAGTCTGATTGTTGTAGTTTTCTCTATAATATTGTAGGGTATTTGACTTAGAGTCATCTCAAGGTGCTTTACACTGTAAGTTTGAACTGGAGCAATATGAATAAAACTGATTTGACAGAATGCATTTTATTTTCAAGAATGGATTTGAAGAAATAATACAACACAATCTCTGATTATGTGACACTGGTTAAATTATTAGCAACATTATGGTTACTGTTGGCTTTATTTAATAACCAAAAGACAGAAGGTGGCGGGCGATCAAACGTAGTGTTGTGAACATACAAAATAAACAAGTTGAAGAACATGGTAAAAGTAAAATAAATTATTTTTAAAAATTATAATTTAAGTAACATTTTCTAAAGCACGTTAATCCTAATTATTGTCAACACAGCTTTAATGGTACGTGAAACAGAACTGCAGTATACTCTATCCAGAGACAGAAAACATTACAAATGGTTTCAAGGAAGATTTAGTTGGCATGGTGTGTAGTCGAGAAACACAGCTTCAGTGTATAAGGGTAAGGCCCACCTAGAATATAGAAGCCAGAAGAAAACTTTCATCATAAAATGTAGAAAATGTCATTAAGGGTTCAAATGTACAACACACCAAGAACCACGTTGGCTTGTTGATCTACATGTTAAATACTTACTAGGGTTTTTCATCTGATAATGGTTCATCATAGCTAGTGCTTCCATGGCATCATTGATGGATTCCCACTCAAGCAGGCCAGATGAACTGCGCTCACCTGTCAAATCACATGATATTACCATGCTGAATAACACTTCTGTATTAAAAAGCACAACAGCACAACCAAATAATGAGATAATAACTTTAGTGACAACACATTACTCACTCTTTCCAGTGAAAAGTTTCACACTTGTGGGCCTCTTGATTCCAAGTTCATCACAGACCTGAGCACAGAAACGCGTTTCAGTGAAAATGTGAGATGGATGCAGTGTTGCCAACTCCTCAGCAAGGAAAATCGCTATTGGCTGTCCTAAGAGTCGCTATAAGTCGCTAAATGACATCATTGCATAATATGCATAATTGGTCCTACCGATGTAATTGTAACAGACGTTGTAGGAGAGGGAAGAGACATAAAGTGAGTTTAAAAAAAAAAAAAACACCCTAAAAAAATAATTCCAACCCTCCTCCTTTATCCGGATTTGGGACCTGCAAAAGTGACCCGAAATAGGCACTATGGTGGAGTTACTGTTTTGGTGTGTGTGTGTCTTTTTAACTAGTTTTAAACCTTTTGATCCACAAAAAGTAACAGTAAAAGAACATTTTCATAGGGGAATATCTCCTACTCTGACATCAGCTCGGGGCGACTGCTGCGTGAGGACTACCTGACGCTTGTGAGCATTTTCACACGGGCGAGGTGCCCATGGCAGCACCCGCTGCTTGTTGAGAGTAAGAGTGATACGTGCTTTCACGTGAAAAAGTCGTCATAAGTCTCCAATAACACCAGAAAAAGTCACTAGATTTGTCGCTAGTCGCTTTTTAGGAAAAAAAAGTCGCTAAGGGGTCTGAAAACTCGCTAAGTTGGCAACACTAACACCGGATGGATGCTTTTGGCCATCACAGATAGCAACCTTTGTTGCTTTTTTTTTTTTTTACCTGATTAAAGATCTCAGCAGAGATGTCGGGTTGTGCATTAAAGAAGTGTAAGACGTTGCTCGGATGCTGGATTCGGTTTTTAGCCGCCTGCTCTGGTGAGGTGAAGCGGTTGTTGCGTGATCCGTGGAAATCTTTAAAGCTGCTTGTGTTGTCCTCTAACTGGTAGCACTGTCCTGGCACAATAGCCTGTTGCTTGGACACACTGAAAGAAATAAGGCCAGAGGTCTTGCATCTGTTGTTTTTTTTTAAGGGAGAAATTTATCTCTAAAAGTCTGTGCTGATGTTTCTAAATTGTTTCAGAGAGCTGTTCTTACCAAACATTGAGTTTCTGTCCAAAAAGGAAGTTGTTGTTCAGATGAGTAATGGCCCTGTCCACAGAGTAACAGTCTCCCATCTCCACCATTGCTGCTCCAGGTTTACTCTTCATGAACTTGACCTGAAAGAAAAATAGACCAAAACAATATTACCCAGCAGTACACACAGTATTTAAACATGAACTTTTTATGATGACTTTTGTGCCGACACCTCCTTGCAATGGGCCTTTACCTTTAAAAACAAACAAAAAAGACCTTCAGATTGTCTGAA